TTTGTTGTTGTTGTTGTTGTATTTTAAGTAGAGATGGGTTTCACCATGTTGGCCAGGCTGGTTTCGAACTCCTGACCTCAGGTGATCCACCTGCCTCAGCCTCTCAAAGTGCTGGGATTACAGGCATGAGCCACCGTGCCCAGCCTCAGCAGTCTTTTTTTTTTGTTTTTTAAATACCCTTGAAATGAAGGACTCAGAACACAGTCTTCTACAAATATTAAACCACAAAGCCATGAGATACTAGATCAAAACTTTGAAAACCGCTTCATATTTGAATCTGTTCAATACTGCAAATAGCCTCTTGGGGTTTTTAATTTTTTTTGAGATGGAGTCTTGCTCTGTCACCCAGGCTGGAGTGCAGTGGTGCAATCTCGGCTCACTGCAACCTCCACCTCCCGGGTTCCAGTGATTCTCCTGCCTCAGCCTCAGCCTCCCAAGTAGCTGGGATTACAGGTGTCCGCCACCAAGCCCAGCCAATTTTTTGCATTTTTAGTAGAGATGGGATTTCACCATGTTGGCTAGGCTGGTCTTGAACTCCTGACCTCGAGTGATCTGCCCGCCTTGGCCTCCCAAAATGCTGGGATTATAGGTGTGAACCACTGACTCCAGCCTTCCCTTTCTATACTCTATACATTAGAAAGAAATTATTAAGTCTAGCCTGTGCTCAAGGAGAAGGGAATTAATTTCCCTCTTTTGGAGAAGTAATTATTGTATTTCTTGATCATTATCACAGAAAGAGAAGCCCATCTCTCTTCTTGTGTTTTACAAAACTGATGACTGAGAACATTCATCCAAATGCCTACCAGATAAAAGGTAAATACAAAACCAATAGGATTCGATTTACGGCCCCATTTTTTTTTTTTTTTCTCAAAATATAAATCTGGGCTGGGCGCAGTGGCTCACTCCTGCAATCCCAGCACTTTGGGAGGCCGAGGTTGGTGGACCACCTGAGGTCAAGGAGTTCAAGACCAGCCTGACCAACGTGGCAAAACCCTGTCTCTACTAAAAACACAAAAAATTAGCCAGGCGTGGTGGTGCATGCCTGTAATCCCAGCTACTCTGGAGGCTGAGGCAGGAGAATCGCTTGAGCCTGGAGGGCGGAGGTTGCAGTGAGCCAAGATCGTGCCAAAGCACTGCAGCCTGAGCAACAGCAAGACTCTGTCTTGGAAAAAAAGAAAAACAATAGAAGTGTATTTACTGCTATTTTTTTTTCCTCAAAATATAAATCTGTAATCATTTTTCGACCGTTGTATTTTTAGGCAATTTATTCCGTGAGCAACAGCGGACGCTCTACTCTATGAATTACATGAATAAGTGCTGGGAGATTTATGTAGCTTACTGCAGACCCCACGCAGCGCCTCCCCACGAGCCTACGATGAAGATGAGACACTTCCTCTGGATGCTGAAAGTAACCACCTAAGTTCAATACTGGCTTTCTATTTACAGGCACTTTGATTTTAATTAAAGAGAGGCAAGATATTCCAGCTATGATATGCAAATAATCAGGTGAAGATCTGGGCTGGATTTTCAGAACCATTGAATGTTTACGGAGTCTCTTGGCAGAACAGTGGTCTGTGGTCGTGGAAGGAACAGAAACAGCCGTCACCTGCCCAATGTGCTCACAGATTAGGGCACGACAATGGCCTATGGCCTATAACAATGGCCCATATATATATATATATATTTATGCTGCAATCCCAGCACTTTGGGAGGCTGAGGCGGGTGAATCACATTAGGTCAAGGAGTTCAAGACCAGCTTGGCCTATAAATATATATGCCATGGGCCATTGTCTTCAAAAAATATATATATATATATTATAATAGTATAATATAATACACTAAATATTTTATATATATAATATTTTTTTGAGAGACAGAGTTTTGCTCTTGTCACTCAGGCTGGAGTACAATGAGGCGATCTTGGCTCACTGCAACCTCCACCTCCTGGGCTCAAGCAATTCTCCTGCCTCAGCCTCCTAAGTAGCTGGGATTACAGGTGCCTACCATCACGCCCGGTTAATTTTTGTATTTGTAGTAGAGATGGGGTTTCACCATGTTGCCCAGGCTGGTCTCGAACTCCTGACCTCAGGTGATCCACCTGCCTCGGCCTCCCTAAGTGCCGGGATTGCAGGCGTGAGCCACCGCGCCTCACTGGCCTACGGTATGTTTATTCACGCAGATCCGGCTATTTAAAGGAAGATGGGGCTGAGCGCGGTGCTGCATGCCTGTAATTGCAGCACTTCGGGAGACCGAGGCAAGAGGGTGACCTGAGCTTAGGAATTCAAGACCAGCCTGGGCAACACAGTGAGATCCCCCTCTCTACAAAAAATGAAAAAAACATAGCCGGGCATGGTAGTGCACACCTGTAGTCCCAGCTACTTGGGAGGCTGTAGTAAGCTGTGATCATGCCACTGTATTCCAGCCTGGTTGACAGAGGGAGGCCCTGTCCCAAAAAAATCCCCCAATAAACAAAAAAGGAAAATGGAGGAACACTTTACTCTTTTTGATGGACCAACGTGTTGCCTGATCCTAGAATAGCAATAAAGCCACCTGAAATCTTTTTACAAAGGAAGGACTTTGGAAGGCTGAGGCGGGTGGATCACCTGAGGTCAGGAGTTTGAGACCAGCCTGGCCAACACTGAAACCCCGTTTCTACTAAAAATACAAAAAAAAATTAGCCAGGTGTGGTGGCGGGAGCCTGTAATCCCAGCTACTTGGGAGGCTGAGGCAGGAGAATTGCTGGAACCCGGGAGGCAGAGGTTGCAATGAGCTGAAATCGTGCCACTGCACTCCAGTCTAGGCAACAAGAGCAAAACTCTGTCTCAAAAAAAAAAAAGGAAGTGGGGAGGATCAATGTCTTTTAAAACAATTACAGTTTATTGAAAATGGAATTTTCAAAAGTTATTACTTGGGAAAATAGTGACAACATCTTATTTATACAATGTTCTCATACTATTGGTTGTTTTTGTTCCATGATATATATATATTTTTTAAGACGGAGTCTCGCTCTTTCGCCAGGCTGGAGTACAGTGGTGCGATCTCGGCTCACTGCAACGTCTGCCTCCTGGGTTCAAGCAATTCTCCTGCCTCAGCCTCCCGAGTAGCTGGGACTACAGGCGTGCATACATGATATATATATATTTTTTAAGACGGAGTCTCGCTCTTTCGCCAGGCTGGAGTGCAGTGGTGCGATCTCGGCTCACTGCAACGTCTGCCTCCTGGGTTCAAGCAATTCTCCTGCCTCAGCCTCCTGAGTAGCTGGGACTACAGGCGCCCGCCACCACGCCCGGCTAGTTTTTTTGTATTTTTTTAGTAGAGACGGGGTTTCACCGTGTTAGCCAGGATGGTCTCGATCTCCTGACCTCGTGATCCGCCCGTCTCGGCCTCCCAAAGTGCTGGGATTACAGGCTTGAGCCACCGCGCCCGGCCTCCATGATACTTTTAATTTGTACTTGTGGAAATACAAATGATTAAACAGAATCAAATACTAATGCTAAGGAGTTTTTACAAATTTCGTAACGTCGTATACATAAGAAAAATGGATGGTAACCTAGTGTGTAACTGTGGGAAAATAGTTTGTTGTTTTGAGTGAGGGTCTTGCTCTGTCACCGAGGCTGGAGTGCAGTGGTGCGATCTTGGCTCCCAGCAGCCTCGACCTCCTGGGTTCAAGCGATCCTCCCACCTCAGCCTCCTGAGTAGCTGGGACTACATGTGTGCCAACATACCCAGCTAATTTTTCTATTTTTTGTACAGACGTGTTATTGCCATGTTGCCCAGGCTGATCTTGAACTCTTGGGCTCAAGCAGTCCTGTTGCCTCGGCCGCCTGAAGTGCTGGGATTACGGGAGTGAGCCAGTACACCTGGCCCTTTTCAGTTTTTCGTTTGTTTCAAGCATGTTTGCAATTGCCCATTGAAGTTTTTATTTTATTTTATTTTATTTTTATTTTTGACAGAGTCTTGCTCTGTCGCTCAGGCTGGAGTGCAGTGACATGATCTGGGCTCACTGCAACCTCCGCCTCCTGGGTTGAAGGGATTCTTCTGCGTCAGCCTCCCGAGTAGCTGGGATTACAGGTGCACGCCGCCACGCCCAGCTAATAGAGACAGAATTTCACCATGTTGCCCAGGCTGGTCTCAAACTCCTGAGCTCAGGTGATCCACCCATCTCGGCCTCCCACAGTGCTAGGATTAGAGGCATGAGCCGCCACACCCAGCCTCATTGAAGCGTTTTTGTGATGACTGTCTTACAGTCTCTGTCCGTCAATTGTAACATCTCTGTTGTCTTAGCGATGGCATCTGTGGACTCTCTTTTTTCTTTTTCATTCAGTTTGAGATCTTCCTGGTTCTTAGTATGAGTGTGTTTTTGTGTTTTTTGTTTTTTTGCTTTTTTTTTTTTTGGAGGCAGAGTGTTGCTCTGTCTCCCAGACTGGACTGCAGTGGCGTGATCTCGGCTCACTGCAACCTCTTCCTCCTGGTTCAAGGGATTTTCCTGCCTCAGCCTCCCAAGTAGCTGGGATTACAGGCACCTGCCACCATGCCAGGCTAATTTTTATATTTTTAGTAGAGATGGGGTTTCACCATGTTGCCCAGGCTGGTCAGTATGAGTGATTTTTTAAAAAATATTGAAACCAGAACATTTGAGTACAGTAAGTCCTCACTTAACGTTTTTGTTTTTTACTTTTTTTTTTCTTTTTTTGAGACAGAGTCTTACTCGGTCGCCAGGCTGGAGTGCAGTGGTGCAATCTCAACTCACTGCAACCTCTGCCTCCCGGGCTCATGTGATTCTCCTGCGTTAGCCTCCCAACTAGCTGGGATTATAGGTGCCTGCCACTACGCCCGACTAATTTTTGTATTTTTAGTAGAGACGGGGTTTTGCCGTGTTACCGAGGGTGATCGATATGAGTGATTTTTTAAAATAATATTGAAACCTGAACATTTGGGTACAGTAACTCCTCACTTAACATTATTATTATCGAGACGGAATCTTGCTCTGTCACCCAGGCTGGAGTACAGTGGCGCAATCTGAGCTCACTGCAACCTCTGCCGCCTGGGCTCAAGTGATTCCCCTGCCTCAGCCTCCCGAGTAGCTGGGATTACAGGCACCCACCATGCCCAGCTAATTATTTTGTGTTTTTAGTAGAGCTGGGGTTTCCGCATGTTGGCCAGGATGGTCTCGATCTCTTGACCTCATGATCCGCCTGCCTTGGCCTCCCAAAATGCTGGGATTACAGGTGTGAGCCACCTAACATTATTAACATTATCGATTATTGATAGGTTCTTGGAAACTGTGACTTTAACCAATGCGAAGAGCGTAACTCTTCTTCATGTCAATTGTGATAAAACCGGTTTTGTTGTGCAGTACGTTGTTTCCCCAGGTGCTTTTCAGCCTACAGCATTGTGTTCATATTTCACACCTGGACCGTGTTCTGTTCTCCCATGTTCTATGTCCTGTTCTGTGCCAAAAAATACTTTACTGTTATTTTGGAGGTGCTAGAGAAGGGATAGAGAGAGAGGTGTGTGTGTGTGTGTGTGTGTGTGTGTGTGTGTGTGTGTGTTTGAGACAGGGTCTTGCTCTGTCACCCTGGCTGGAGTGCAGTGTTGTGATCACAGTTCACTGTGGCCTCAAACTCCTGGACTTCAGTGATCCTCCCACCTCAGCCTCCTGAGTGGCTGGGACTGAGGCATGCACCACCATGCTCAGCCTACATTTTTAATTTTTGTAGAGACAGGGTCTTGTTATGTTGCCCAGGCTGATCCCCAACGCCTGGGCTCAAGTGATCCTCCCACCTCGGCCTCACAAGGTTCTGGGATTACAGGTGTGAGTCACCATGCCTGGCCGTACATACCAGTGTTAATCCAGAATGCTTTTCAGAATTATCAGTCTTTAAGATATTAATTTATGGCTGGGCGCAATGTCTCACGCCTGTAATCCCAGCCCTTTGGGAGGCCAAGGGAGGTGGATCACTTGAGGTCAGGAGTTTGAGACCAGCCTGGTCAACCTATAGTGAAACCCTATCTCTACTAAAAAATACAAAAATTAGCTGGACGTGGTGGTGGGCGCCTGTAGTCCCAGCTACTTGGGAGGCTGAGGCAGGAGAATCACTTGAACCCAGGAGGTGGAGGTTGCAGTGAGCTGAGATTGCACCACTGCACAGCAGCCTGGGCGACAGAGCGAGATTCCATCTTTCAAAAAAAAGAAAAAAGATATTAATTTCTGGTACACTTTCTTAATTATTGTATTGATATAAATTGACATTAAAATATGTAGCTGTTTACAATTATAGGCAGTTATGGTTTGATTTCCTTTTTTACAGGACTTTAAAATGATAAGTAAAGAATTAGCAGCTATATTTATGGAGGTCATAGCAGAGGATAATCCTTTCATATATGATGGAACTGACAGCAGCTTTGAACCTGAGGTTTGTAAAGAGCCGTCACAAACGGTACAGATCCAATTCAGGCGTTGGTTTTGCCATGGATACCAATAACAAAGAACCAAGATTTTTTTTCTTTTTTTCATTAGCCTTTTCGTTTACCCTTTTTTTTTTTTTTTTTGAGACGGAGTCTTGCTTTGTCGCCCAGGCTGGAGTGTAGTGACACAATCTCGGCTCACTGCAAGCTCTGCGTCCTGGGTTCACGCCATTCTCCTGTCTCAGCCTCCTGAGTAGCTGGGACTACAGGCGCCGCCACCACTCCTGGCTAATTTTTTCTTTTTTTTGGTATTTTTTTTAGTAGAGATGGAGTTTCACCATGTTAGCCAGGGTGGTCTCGATTTCCCAACCTCGTGATCTGCCTGCCTTGGTCTCCCAAAGTGCTGGGATTACAGGCGTAAGCCACCACACCGGGCCTTCAGCGGATTTTTTAAAAACAATTTTTTGTACAGAATGGGTCTCACTGTGTTGCCCAGGCTGGTCTCAAACTACTGGGCTCAAACGATCCTCCTGCCTCAGCCTCGTAACGTGCTGAGATTACAGATGTGAGCCACTGTGACCAGTCTAAGAACCAAGATTTGATTGAAAGCAGTCTGAACACAAGTACAGAATATATGTGTGTGTGTGTCTGTGTGCGTGTCTGTGCATGTGTGTGTCTGTGTGCACATGTCTGCATGTCTGTGTGCAAACGTGTACGTATTCAGATGTCAGGAAATAATGAACGCCAGTCCATCAATGCTCTGTCTCCAGGTGTGTCCGAATGATGGAAACTCTGTGTTTTCTTTTATTTCAGCTGGTTTTCCTGGAATTCTTTGAAGCCTCTCTTAAGCTTGCATTCATCTGTGTTACTGACCAAATGACTAAATCCTATGCAAATGTTCCAAATGATGATGTGTCTGGAAATAAACCGGAAAACTATTTATACAATACTAAATCAGGTAACACAATGTCTTAAGATTAGGTAATCTTAGAATTACAGAGCAAGGAGGGCGGGCCGCGGTGGCTCACGCCTGTAATCCCAGCACTTTGAGAGGCCGAGGCGGGCAGATCACGAGGTCAGGAGATCGAGACCATCCTGGCTAACACGGTGAACCCGTCTTTACTAAAAATACAAAAAAATTAGCTGGCGGCTGGTGGCGGGCGCCTGTAGTCCTAGCTACTCGGGAGGCTGGCAGGAGAATGGCGTGAAACCCGGGAGGCGGAGCTTCGCCAGTGAGGGCTGAGATCGCACCACTGTACTCCAGCCTGGGCGACAGAGCGACGACTCATCTCAAAAAAAAGACAGAGCAAGGAATGACTTTATTCTGGAATGGCTCAAACCATCAATCAACAACTGATCCTTTGTTCTCAGTACTCAAAGCCCTCAGCTTCTACTGCCGCACACCAGACGGTCTTGTTCCGCCACAAAGCGACAGCCACCGCCCAGCCAGCAGTCGAGAGTCAAGAAGCCAAGGCGGCAAAGGATGCCTTCTACTACGCAAGCGCTGTGCGACAGCCTGGTCCCCTCTCCATTGCCCAGGCCAGTATACACAAGAGGCCCACAAACATCGAGCGTTTGCTTTTTATCAGCCTGGCAAATGCGTTGCAGGGGAAGCAAGAAATCCCTTTTGGCTCCCCACGCGGCTTTCAGTAACCTTAACGGCTGTCGCCTTAATCGGCCAGAGCTTTCCAGGTGGTGTTTGTACGGGCGGCTCAGGGAGTTGGAGAGATATATTGTGGTGGTATGTGGTTGGGATGCGGAGGCATGGGTGTGTTTGTACCTAGGCTGCAGGGAGTTTTGAGCCCGGGGCTGAGGAATGTGCCCAGCTCCTTTCAACCCTTCCAGAAAGTAATTTAAGAAGTGTTTCCTTTTCCTTTTGAAATTTTGTTTTATGTATTTTCAGACAGGAATTCACTCTGTCATCCAGGCTTGAGTGCAGTGGTGCAGTCACGGCTCACCGCAGCCTTGACCCCCTGAGCTCACACGCTCCTCCCATCTTAGCCTCCTGAGTAGCCAGGACTACAGGCTTGTGCCACCACACCTAGCTAATTTTTTTTTTTTTTTTTGAGATAGAGTCTCACTCTGTTGCCCAGGCTGGAGTGCAGTGGCACAATCTCAGATCACTGCCACCATTGCCTCCTGGATTCAAATGATTCTCATGCCTCAGCCTCCCAAGTAGCCGGGATTACAGGCATGTGCCACCACACCTGGCTAATTCTTTATATTTTAGTAGAGACGGGGTTTTGCCATGTTGACCAGGCTGGTCTCGAACTCCTGACCTCAGTTGATCCACCCGCCTTGGCCTCCCAAAGTGCTAGGATTACAGGCCTGAGCCACTGTGTCTGGCCTTTTTGTATTTTTTTGTAGAGATGGGGTTTTGCCATGTTGCCCAGGCTGGTCACAAACTCCTGAGGTCAAGTGATCCTCCTGCCTCAGTGTCCCAAAGTGCTGGGATTACAGGTATGAGCCACCGTGCCTGGCCAACATGTCTTTTTCACATTTTGGAAGTGTGTACAGATTTTTTTTAAGTTTGGGAAAATGAGTTTCCTGGCCGTGACCCAGAAAGTGGACTCTTAGCCACAGCAGATTTCATAATGAAGGTCACAGTGCATACCGACATGCTGGGGGGGCCACTAGACCACACATGAGAAAATCAGAGGTATTGGCCGGGCGTGGTGGCTCACACCTGTAATCCCAGCACTTTGGGACACTGAGGCCAGCAGATCATGAGGTCAGGAGATCGAGACCATCCTGGCTAACATGGTGAAACCTGGTCTCTAATTAAAAAATAAAAAAAAAAAATTAGCCGGGCATGGTGGCAGGCGACTGTAGTCCCAGCTACTCGGGAGGCTGAGGCAGAAGAATGGCGTGAACCTGGGAGGTGGAGCTTGCAGTGAGCCAAGATCCCGCCACTGCACTCCAGCCTGGACGACAGAGCGAGACTCCGTCTCAAAAGGAAATCAGAGATATTTTACTAGGAGATGTTGTGTTACATGGATCCAGTGTTTCTAAGAGTGGACAGCCTGCTCAAGAGCAGATCTGTCGGGGAACAGTTCTTGAGTGTGCGTGGGATGCTAAACAGGTCCCCAGGGCTTGCTCACAAGGATGGACACCCCGGCCAGGCACGGTGGCTCACGCCTGTAATCTCAGCACTTTGGGAGGCCAAGGTGGGCGGATCACTTGAGGTCAGGAATTCGAGACCAGCCTGGCCAACCGTGGTGAAACCCCGTCTCTACTCCAAGTACACTGGAACCTGAACGTTCATGTCAGGGTCCAAGGCAATCACTGCTCCCTTTTGACCAACAGTTTGGGAGAGTGATTTAGAGATCATAGAGGCTCAGCTTCAAACTTACTAAAGCTGATCCTTCTTGCTCAGCTCACGGTAGGTTCGCACACTCCGGTCGTGTGGGGAGGCAAAGGTAGAATTTTGTCCCACGGAGGAAAGTGTGCTGTGCAGAGGGACAGCAAGCTCCAGAGACGGGCAGAAGGCTGTCCTTGAGCCGTCAGCTGAGTGCGCGCGCGTGTGAGGGAACAGCTGGGACCTAAGGGAAGGGCCGCCGGGAAGAAGGGGAGGAAGCTCAAGCACTCACACAGGGCTGGGAGTAGTTTGCATTCCCGGTCGCCAGCGTGGAGGAGCCCCTTCACATCCCACGACGGGCCCGTCGGGCCTGGGTACCTAGAAAGTTCACTGTGTTGGGTGTGGGGTGATGGAGGTACGGGTGTGTGTGTGGGGGTTGAGGGTGTGTGTGGGTGTGGGGATGTTGGGGTGTGGTGGTGGGACCTAGTGTGGGTGTGGGTGTGTAGGTGTGTGATGGGGGTTGGGTGTTGTGTAGGTGTGGTTTGTGGTGGGTGTGGTGTGTGTGGGGTGTGTTGGGTGAGGTGTGTGTGGGGTGTGGTGTGGTGTGGTGTGGGGTGGTGGTATGATGTGGTGTTGTGGGGGGTGTGTAGTGTGGTGTGTGTAGGTGGTGTGGGGGGTTGTTTGTGTGTGTGTGATTTTTCGAGAATAAATCCTTGTCTGTTGCCAGGCTCGAGTGCAGTGGCGATAATCTTTGGCTTCCACTAAGCTCTCCTCCATGGGTTCAGTGATTCTCCCTGCCTCGGCCCTCGCCCAAGCAGCAGCTGGATTAACAGGTGCGCACTGCCAACCTGGCAATTTTGTATTTCTTAAGTAGAGACAGGGTTTCACGTATTGGCCCAGCCCTGGTCTCAACACATCCCCTGGCCTCAGTGAATCCACCCGCCCTCATTCTCTGAACTTCCCTGGGATTACAAGGCATGAGCCAACCGTGCCTGGCTGTTATTTTATTTCTTTAGAGATGGGTCCCCTCACTATGTTGCCCCGGCTGGTCCAAACTCCTGGGCTCAGCGTGATCCGCCCACTTGGCCTCCCAAAGTGCCCCAGATTACAGGCGTGAAGCCCACTGTGCCCTGATCCTGTTCACCTGCCTGAATGAGGGCGATGTTTCACAGGTATAGACCGTGTGAAACATCATCCAAAGGGTACAACTTCGTGTGGTAGTTCATGTAAATCAAGTTACACCCCATTAACATAATATGTGTTTGTGTGCCGCGTGTGTGCCCCCTGTTGTGATCTCATGGTGGGAAACCAGAAGCCCTCTGACCCCATGTGTTTGTTTCTTGCCCTTAGGAACGCCAGTAGCAAAGAGTCCAGCGCAGTCCTGGGAGCCACGAACGGATGCTGCTCACTCTGGACAGTGGCCCGGGTCATCTACCAGCAGTTAAGAGCTCTGGCCT